GTCTTCGCAGACAAATCATGTTTGTATATGAGATTGTTTCGAGCTGCGACATTAATGTTATTTATGATACAGCACTCCGTGCGTACTAATTCAATAACTCCTCTGTTATAATCTAATTTCTGGTCCTGTATTGGGGGGTGGTTAGGGTCGCACCCTCAGGGATGATGCGAAACAGGAGTCCGGCTTGCCGAGAGGCTGCGGGTTCAAGATGACATTTTCCAGACCCTCCCTCTGCCTCGGCGAATGGGACCGGAGCGTTTTCCGAACTGGGTGCCAGGCTGGAGCACAATTCTGATCTGCTCTTAAATTCTAGCAACGTCTGGTAATCCCTTAAAGCATGGTGATAACCATACGTACCACGACGTTTCATACTCAGTAAGTAACTCAGACATTTACGAACAGAGTGCACGTACGGGTTTCGTGTGATTCTTAAAAGAAACAGTTATTTATTTCCTTGAACAACAATAATCACTGATCTTTACAGTGAAAACGCACTGTATTTCATATGAATTAGTAAATGCGTTATTATTTTGAACTTATTACGATAATTGCTGTTTCCAAATTAATTCCCGTCCTAAAATTTTAAAGTCAAATCATTACTGACACAGATTTTAAAGAGTGCGGGTATCAAATGGTTTCCCCAATTATTTTGTAACAACAGTAACAGATATGTATTTGAATAAAATAAACACGAAGGAAAAAGTTGTCAGTGGAACCACGGTTCCGGAGAATTAGACGTAAATACGTCTACACGGAAAGGAAGTTTATATATTGGCTTTATTCTAAATATTTCCTTTATACCCGCTTTACAATTGAGATAAGTTTGATTAAGACATTGATTATTCAACTTCAATTAGTTACGCTTAAAATGGGTCTGTGGTAGATGAATGTAATGCAAAGTAATGTAAAGTAATGCAATGTTTTATAGATAATAACAATGCCGAGTAAACAGATGAGGTTTCCTAAGTAACATAACAATGAAGTTACACTTTTTCGTTTCCCTTTTTCGTAACACTATTTTGTAACACTTTTTCGTAAGAATTTTTCGTAACACATTTTTGCCGAATGACACTGACCCTAAAATATAAACGTATTTACGTCAAAAAGCTGTTGTTCAAAACGGCAAAGAATATGTCTGGAAAACATGAAAAGGCTTCTTCAAGTCACAGCAGACTTTGCCTTCCCACTCCCCTTTCGTACTGCATGTACTGTAATTATAATGACATCCGACACGTTATTAAAATCTGTCAGGTTGATGCTGGCGCAACCCGCATGTCTGTAACGTCATCAATTCCTGTTCATCGTCTTGAAGTACGATTAAAATTTACCTGCAGTATCAAAATTGATTAACTAGTCTCACGTCAGGTAAAAGGCAATGACAGGCTGTCAAGTCGCCCAAATTTCATTTATCGGGCTTGTACAACCAGCCAACCAACCATTCAGTCAGAATAAATTCCTTAAAATTATGGTTGGCCTCGGCTTCAGCGCCGCTCTCTGGTTTGATCCTTCTATAGAAAAGGGGGATGATTTTCTATGAACATTGAATTTCAAATGCGTGAATGAAAATGTGCAGAATGGACCTGCAATACAAGAGTAAAAACGTGTAACCTACTCAATTTAGGAGTAAACATATTTTCTATGCCACGTATTTCTTTTCTGTACGATATATTAATAATTCCCGTGGACGAAATTCATTTATTTCCTTTTCCAAAAAAAAAGCCTGTCTGAACTTCAACGCAGCTTGGAGGGGCTCGTTAGTCATTTTCATGTATTATTTTGATATTATCCTGTATTCTGTGGAAGACACATCAACGAATATGCCCAATTACTATTTTGTTAATTTGCTCCGAGACCAAAATTCTTACTAGCGTTCAATAGAGCGCCAGTGTTTTCCTTTATGGCTTAAATTAAAAGACCCTCGAATGACTCCAGATGTTCATACAGGCCTGCACTAAGACATCTATGTGACGACAGCCTAAGTCACTTATAAAATTACTGATTCACATACAAACTGGTTAATTAAATATGGCTAAATTAAATCAACTCAGCACTGCCGGTTAAGTAAGTAGTCACAAGTCACCCAAAAAAAAAATAATGACTTGCTAATGGAGGTCAGCCGATGAAATGTTCAATTAAACATCACGCCACTGATACAAAACAAGTCATTAGTCAAAATGTGAGGCACACTTAACGCATACTGAGTGCATTACATCAACAGAATAATCAGACGACCCCCAGTGGCTCTCTAACTTGTATAAAAATACTAATTATCGCCAAAGCTTATACAAGAGAATAACTAGAGGTAAGGTGTATAATGTGAAACTTTCGCCTAGTCACCCGTTGTTGAAAGCCTCTCGGGTTACAAGCCGCGTCAGGTGGCTAAACCATATCTCCCGCCAACGTTTCGAGAGCAATCTCTGCTCTCATCCTCAGAACTGCTCAGATTTGTTACGCAGCAGCCCTGAGGATGAGAGCAGAGATTGCTCTCGAAACGTTGGTTCAGTCACCATTCGGCCACCTGACGCGGCTTGTAACTAGAGGCAAGGTATTTGACTACAACAGTTAAATTTCTTAACTATGTGAGGAGTTATAAGATTCTGAAGGACTCTTACGTTCCATGACCGTCCAGCTGATTGTAAGACGAGAACGAAAGACATTAACAGGCCTGCATGATATAGTTTCTTATGACTCGTAGGTCTTCTGAAGGGAAGATATTTGACATCACGTCCTGAAGAAGGCGATATTTAATTTCGAAGACCCCAACCAGGAATTCGAAAAACCGCGATTTAGTGGCGATGTTGTGATGACAGGTCAGACGTTCACACCTGATCCTATTGGGAGGAGCTCTGGCGCCGAGGCTTCGTATTGGTCAACCAGTTCTGCAATGTGTCTTGTCACGTAAGGCCTTCCTTGTCTTCTCCACTAGACAACCACATAAATTCTGAAACACATTTTTTATTCTTCTTACTCACTTTTTCTACCATCTGTATACCTGTCCTTTTATAGCCGTATATAATGGTAAAGCCTCTGTCTCCTACAGCCTGTGTCACCAGCGTTAAGAAAAGCTCAGCTCGTTTCTCGAGAGAATAACATAAATTACCTACGAGAAGAATCATTACAATGCCAGGGCCGTCGTCCTTTTCTCAGTGAGCTTGTATTACAGGGCAGGACTGACCTCTTGATGGGTCATAACAACTGCGGGAATGACTCCTGATGGCGTGTAACCTGTGGCACACGTTCAGCTAACGAGCATTCATTCCTTCCAGGGTGGTAAGAGCGGTCGGAGCATCGACGTGACCAGTACCTTCAACTGGCTTCGATGATCAGATCTCCACACATCCTACACGCGTGAATGACGCCGCATTAAACAAAGGAACACCTTCAGGAGAGAAAATTTTGAATGACACAAAAGGACTGCAATGTGTGAAGAAAAAACCGTTTGACGGAAATTAACGAAATTCTGGGTGTCACGCCATTACTGACTACAGCAAACAAATATTTCTGGGTGTGGTAGTACTAACGCCACGATTGCGTAAATTTCTGAGGTGGAATGATGACGCCACTACAATTCAACATCTTCTTCGCATGTGCAACGCTAACCTAAGTGAACCAACCTGACCCAAACTCTTCTGTTCGTAAGTCGTATCAGTATGAACATATTTCCTAATTAGAAAACGGCTTGAGAGAAATTGATGAAATTCGGTACCGTAGGTCAATCCTGCAGACTCTTACATTCTGACTACTTACTCTTCGTAAAGCCAATGTGATACTGCAGACACTCCAGAAGTGTTCTTGTGCCTGAACACATGTCGCATCTAGACACTCGGTGTAAAACATTTCACGAAATTTCGTCTGGGCATTGTGCCATAGGTGGCCTCTCAAAAGCCACCGCCTTACGTTCGGTATCAGAGCACAATCCTCGTGACGCCATCACCCACTGTGTGTCCGTACAAGAATTAAATTGCTTGCTACGCGAAGACAAAAAGAATACGATTTCTGAAAGAATCCTCTACCAGGGCCCGCTGTCACTCTTTCGGCAGTTATTTATGAAAGTTGCCCTCAACAATCTTCAGAGCTGGAGAGCAGCAGCCCTGCAGCTCGTTAGCCGAAAACAATGGCGCGCTCTGTTATCTGCCATCACGTTACGGGGATGAAATATTTGTCACTTTGCAAGTCATTAATAATGGAATAGTTTGGAAGGCAGCAGATACCTTTGCCCACCCCCAAGCAGGTAAGGTGCGTGGGTAATGATACTTAATGTTTATACAATTAAATTAAACTGAATTATTTTATCTTCTGAAATATCAGTTAACAAACTATATGAAGCGATAATTTAAAAAAAAAACTACCTCACTCAACCAGTTACCTACGTAATTAACTATTCGGTGTCATCATTGAAAAGATGTCAGTTCCTCATCTGCTCATAATATAAAATATATATATACACCGGTAAATGAGAATCAATCACCTGAAGACTGAGTACAGCTAACTCCTGAAACGTCGAGTATATCAAATACACAACAAAGAGCGGACAATATCCAACACAATGTTCCAATAATGAATCAACCATCAATCACAAATCTTCAGAGAACCGCCTCTGAAACGTCGGTCAATTTCTACACCGATCCCTCGATTTGATAATAAGAAATCTACTGGTTCTTCGTTGTAGCGAAAATTAGTAAATTGAGGGATGTGTCATGGCGCCTTCCCAAAAGAACATCGCCGACTACGTAAACTGCACAACCTGTTTTCGCCTCTCTAAGTAGCAAGCTGTGTGTATCCTGCCTACCTACAGACAGACACACATTCCAACTTTACGGCGGACATGAGGGAATCGGAACAATGCGCCGGTCTTCCGTGCTGAACGCATCGCCTACCAGACCAATAGATTTTTCCTGTTGCCTTGCCCTTCCATGTAAATGCTATGCATATGGGGCCCCACAGCGGTTAACCTACAGGCCCCCTGTCCCCGTCTGGCAATTGACATCTTCACTATCCTTCTATCTCCAGGAGCAAAAAGAAGACTTCCAGTCCAAATGAGAATTTCTACATTCACTGTTGCCAGTGGGTCAGAGGTGAGGATGATCGAAGATTACAGCTGGCATAACGTAAGTACAATTCAGCTACTGGATGAGGGTAAATGCGGTACAGTCCCTGTTGCCAAGAAGAGCAGAGCTTAAGGCCGCCCCATTCTCCTAAGACACGAGACATTGGATCTGTTTTCATTTTCGTTGTCTCGAGTTCCTAAAGCAAGACAAAAACAGCGGCTGCTAGAAATTATAGCCAGAGTGACGACTTCGGCAAACCACAAGTGGCAGGCCATGCAGATTCGAAATGGCTGTAAATGCTGCCAACTTCCGTTAACAGTAGTTAACACTTCTCACACGAAAGAGGTGGTGGCGTAACAAGTTTCCGGGTGCGCAATGAACCCAGTCACACCAACACGAAGGTCCTCAAGAACGTCCCTCAGAAGCTGATAGTTATTTACTTGGAGAAATTAGCCTGGTACTAAATTCAAGGAACCCGGCAGTGCGTCGTGCAATAACATTCAATTACGAAGCCCACAAAGCGAACACATACAGGGAGGGATGGGTCCGTCCAACCGAGCGTTTCAACTACTGAACAAATCCCGATTACATTTCGTACTGAGGAGTATAAAACTTAACTAAAAATCACATGGGTTTCATTTCGGTTTTTGGTCCATATAATTCCTACGTCTGAGAATACATGGATTAAGCAGTCGCTGACAATTGCAATAACGAGTGGTCCTACAGCTTCGGGAAAGCAGCTAATTGCACGTCGAAGTTGGTCTTCCGGTGTTACGTAGTGTAGGTAGACTACACTACACCTTCTACTCTTGTTTACTCCACATAGGCTATGCGATGAGATTCGTTCCATCCCGCAAAAGAATCTGGCATAAAAAATAAAGCAGCTTCCCATTTAGGGTCAACACCCCAAGAGTGGTGACGTCAGCGTGGCGCCTCGCCGAATTAGTGTTGGGACGCACAGACACTTTCCATTAGCAGGCCGTGTACGAGAGCGAGTGACCCGGAACTCTCCCGGCTCCAACACTACATGAAGATGTATCCGTTGAAAAAAAAAAAGAGGCATATTCCAGATCGTCCAGACATGCGTTTCCGCCCTTAGCTTCCTTCATCTCCCTTTTCCAACTAACAGCAGATCAGCCAGCCACTTGTGAGACGAACAGCTGCTTGGAATTCATCATATCACCACCAAGTACGAAAGCAATTCAGCCTGTCAAAAAAGAAATCACTGATTCCACGGCGCAAAGTTCTTTACAAGAAGCTCTACCTGTCAGCAAATTATGGAATCCGAAGGACCATCACCGTCTTCACAAGATATCGCAACCGGCCCCTACCATGAAGCAGCTTAATCCAGTCCACATTTCTTCAAGACCAATTTTAACACTGCCTTCAAACCTGCGCAACATTCTTCAACTGGCGTCTTGAATTTACGTCTTCGGACTAAAATTCTGCAAGCATTTCTCGTCTATTTCACGAGTGATTCAGGTCTCTTATACACTGTCCACCTCTTGCTATTATTCAGTGTTCCCCATCTTCGTGTTCCTTCCTTTACTTTCGGTGTAAACGAACCTCAAGTCCTAATCCCTCAGCGCCCTGTTCATTGTATGAACCATCTTTTGGTGATCATCTGTCACAATATCTCATGCAACAAAACAATGAATCACCGCCCAGTATTTGGAGATAAAATATGTTCTGCGTTACAGAGGTCATGTGCTCTAAATCTTCCTTGGTTCCGATGACACGTTCTTGAGGGAAAGTTTAATCTCGTGTGCAGTATTTTACTTTAGGCCTATCAATATATCCGCTTACCACATGCGGAGCGATTTCTTTATTCGGGGTCCATTGAGGAACTATAAAACAAACAGTGGTCCCGAGCGATAGCAGCGGGGGGCGCGACTCTGCGTGGTTATCAGGGTATCTGCCGGCTTTACCGCTCTGGACCGCGCAGGATGCTGAGGCACGACATCCACGAGTTCAAACATCAACCCTTATGACGTCATTCCACACACACGGCAATGCAAAGAACAAGTGTGGAAAGAATCACAACATGTGATTTGGAAACATGGAATGACCTATCACAACGCCGATAGTTTGGCTGGCAGACGTAAGAATTAATTATTATAAGATAGTGTAGGCAACACGGGGTTTTCCTCCGGGGGCTTCCCCGGTTTCTCTGTGGCATCCCAACAATTACTCCATTCACACACAGAAGAAGGGAATGGCAAACCACTTCTGGATCATCTGCCAAGAACGTATATGAACAGGTCCCAGTCCGAGAAAAGGATGGAAGGATCCTGTTCATATGGACCTGTCGTCACACAGAACACTAAATAAATAGTGTTGGCTATCGATTCTGTTGAATAACGAGTTTAAAGTCGATCCAGCAGCGTTTTAATTATTTATCTGAATATAAGACCAGGACACATGATTATTGCGTTCAAAATGCCATAGGTCCACGCTGCCTGTTACGGGGTTTGCGCAACTGGAATCGTCATCAGTCTTCGTGAGAAGAAGCCGCCATGGTCAATGGCCATATAGCTGCAGGAAACAATCATCTTCTGTTTATAGTTTTATGGTCACTTCAAACAATAGCGTGGCCACACAGTGTGAAGAACACGCCGCTGAAA